GAGTGGGTATTGCATCGTGGAAGAAACACTTTCCGTAACACCGGTCTCTGTCTACAACTACAAGACTTTTTTAAAATGGTAATAATTTTTATTCTGTCTTTACGTAATTACTGATGTTCATAACTTAATTGCGGTAAAAGCTGTGCAATATAAACTTTCGTATTGATACCAATGACTCACAAAAAACTTACTTTTTTCATTTTAATAATTCAAGCGCTGTTTACTATGTAATGCTTCTTTGGTCTAGCGAAGAACCGCTTTTCCCACAACGTATCCTACACATTGTACTTCTTCGCTGTAACTACTTCACTTTGACAATGACATGGCAATTTTCGTTTGTGCTCTTATGCATTCGTTCCTCATCTAGTTTCTTCTTATTATTCTAGTCATAAATCGTTCCATGTTGTGTTGCGTAGTCTATAGTTTTGAACAACTTTCAGAATTAGGGTATACGTTTCGCACCCAGCGGTTAGCATTGAAGGCAAATATCGTTCAGAAATTTGTCGTTTCATGGATAGCGACATTTTCAGTCTTCCGAAAGTGCTCCAAACCAGTGTAATTCTTCCCCACTGCTGAGATCGACGTAACTCGCTGCGTTTGTGCAGTACAAATTTGAGACTTCAATCAAATCAGCACTTCATATTTCTTACACTTCTGAATCATCTAAAGAAAAGAATTTGGCTGAACAGTTTACAAATGCCCTCTCGTCTACCTTAATGATAGCCTCAGAAAGTATGACGTATTTTCTAATTCAGAGGAAACCGATCATGTTGATCACTACATTTCCTTGATGGAACAAACATGTTAGATTTGACGTTATGTATCAACGAATCGAACAATACTATAGTCTACTACCTGTTATTTTCCTGAGGAGAGATAAGTGAACAATAAAATACTGATGATACAATGCTGGCTTGGGTGTTTGCCCTTTCCCTCGAGTCTTTCCCTCAGCTCTCATGCAAAGCGTCTCAGTACATTGTGGCTTCCGGGCCCTGATGATTAGCAGCCTTTTAATCCGTAGATTGGAAAGCAAATTCAACGAACAACTAATCGACTAATGCCGTGTTTACCTCCGCTTTGTTCTGCCGAACGACATCCGACGAGGCGGCCGATTATCTTGTCTACTGCTAAGAAAATTGCGACGATCGAATGTCGGCCAGCCACAGAATAACTCGGAACGCGAACGTCTCTCGACGGAAGCGTCGATAGTTTTTATGAGTTCACCAACGGTAATTTGCTGCAATTATGACACAATTAGCTGGCATGCTTGAGACCGCGATGTCCATTTGATCTGGCGTCCTGTTCCTTCGCTACGGAAGCTAAAAAGTCTCGACGAGGGCTAGAGCTGGCAAAGCCCAGCATTAAACCACTGGCAGATCAGAAGTAAATGCATAGCCAATGTACAATGTCTGATGGCTCGGTGTCGTTAAAATATATAAAAGCGGAGTTGGACAACATCTACTGCGTTGTGCACGGT